GTGGGAGTGGAAATGTGTGGTTGGGGAAAAATAGGGGGGTACAGATGGGGTACAAGTGGGCGGAGGGAGGGGGGGAAGCAGGGCGCTGGATGTGCTTGCAGAAGCAAACAAAGACGGAAGTGGGCGGGCCGGATGTGAAAATGCTTGAGGGTCTGGGGTAGAGGTGTAACGCGTCTACAGCAGGGGTGCAATTGCACGAGTTGTTTCGCTGCTCGGCAGGCGCACACTCCTCCTCTCGACACCTTCGGACGGCCCGACGGCCCACGGCAGACGCATCGGATCAAATATGCGCCCCATCCAGTTCAACTGCCGCTGCGCTGTCCAATCACATGCCCCCACCTTGTTCACCCCACTCGCCTCTTCCACGGCAGCTTGTCACTATTTTCGTTATTTTTCCGCACCCTTGCTCTTCTGGAACAAGGGACTTTACAGTGTCAGGGCACCTCGTGCCGTGCTCTGGACGGAGCTGCTTCACACGTGTACACCTGTATGCGAAATACAGTACGTGTTCTGTCATGCCACTGAGTGTCTTACCGACCTTACACAAGAATCCGTCCATTCAGGACCTGCTTTGCGCACAAACTGTCTGCTCCGTACTGTAATGCGTTTTCCATTACGTGCCGCCACCAGCGCACTGTACCCCGATGCCCTTTGGTGCTTTTTTTCATCACCCAATGTCAACACCCAATGTCAACACCCAATGTCCATGCTGTCGAGTACATCCAAATCAGCTCTTCTGTCGAGAGGTCGTCCATCCCATACTCACCGTGTCTTTAATATTGTGCCACAGCTAATCCCTGCTGTGCCGCCCGCCCAGTGCGACAAACCTCATGGGTATCGGCAAGAAGGTCGTCGCCCCAAAGGGCGGTCTGCTGGCCGAAGAAGCCCGCCAGGCGGGTGCCCAGCATGGCGGCAAGCGCTCCGCAGCGGACCGGGCCTCGTCTCCAGATTCGATGCAAATCGACACACCGCAACTCTCTGACCCCGCAACAAATCCCCAGGTTGCCGGCAGCACTCCCCAGTCTGGAAAGCAAGACCCGACAAAACCACAATCTGAAAAGGGTGACATGACGAAGGACTCCACTCTCACCGCAGGCACAATTCTCATCAAGCAACCCCTCGAGATCGGCACAAAAGCCCCAGCATTTTGGCGCAAGCAGTCGTATCAGGAGTGTGAGGTCATCAACCGCAGAAAGAAGCCAGGCACGGAAGACTATGAGTATTATGTCCACTATTCCTCCTTCAACCGCCGTCTCGACGAATGGATAGACTTTGACCGCTTCGACCTCGCCGCCCTCGCCAAAGTCGAGAACAAGCGTCGCGCCCGCAAGGCTGCCAGCGAACGCGCCAATAACGCCAGCCGTGCAAAGAGTGAGCGCAAGAGAAAGGACTCCAAGAAGCGCAAGTCCAAGGGCCCTGAGACGGATAAACAAATCACAAAAGCCTCGGAGCGCACTCAAGAGCACTCGGGACATGAAGAGGCTAGCAAAGTTAAAAACATCCAAACCATCGTTATTGGTGCCTGGTCCGTCGATACCTGGTATTACTCCCCGTTCCCTGGAGACTACGGCAACTATCACACACTATATTTCTGCGAGTTTTGCCTAAAGTTCGTCCGCTCTACAGATGCTCTGCAGCGCCACTGCAACCGATGCGTCTTGCGCCATCCGCCAGGTATTGAGATCTACCGAAAAGGAAACATATCCATGTTCGAAGTGGACGGCGCCACCAACCGAATCTATTGTCAAAACTTATGCTACATTGCAAAGCTTTTTCTCGATCACAAAACCTTGTACTATGACGTCGATCCGTTCTGGTTTTATATTATGTGTGAAGTCGATGACAGGGGCGCTCATATTGTGGGTTACTTTTCCAAAGAAAAGTACAGTGAAGAGGACTACAATGTGGCCTGCATCCTTACATTGCCACCATATCAACGAAAAGGTTACGGCAAGTTTCTTATCACCTTTTCTTACGAGCTAAGCAAACTTGAGAACCTGGTGGGGTCACCAGAAAAGCCGCTTAGTGACCTTGGACTGCTAGGGTATCGCAGTTATTGGTCCCTGGTGCTCGTCGATCTCCTTCGGAATGAGGATTCAAGCGCTTTGAGCATATACGAAATATCAGAGAAGACTATGATGAAGACGGAAGACATTATTGGAACCCTACAGGCTCTAAACTTGATTCAGTACTACGAAGGTCAACACATCATTGATATGCGTCGAGTGAAAAACTTGAAAATGGGGAGCAAGGGGCTGCCATGTGATCCTGATTGCATCAAGTGGACCCCACATAGCTACGGCCCTGGTGTGCAAATTCCACCTGGCGCTACTCTTGCAGGCCCGAGTATGGGCAGACGAAGATGAATTTCCACCAAAATTCCTACGGTTTCCAGTGACTGCAAAGGAAAAGTCCGCAAGTACATTCAATGGTTGGTAGCTAACTTATCTGGAGGAATCAACATCGTACTCGAAACATATGAGAAGTCCCGCGGCCTGAAAGGCGAGTGAGCAAACGCGGTTGGCGGTAAGACTAGACGAAATGGTGCAGTGAACGCACAGTTTAATGCACGACTTTGCTGTGCCGCAAGTCCAGAAGCTCTGAGAGCTGATCTGTTTTGCGTGCCCGTCAATAATGGAGACGGTGCGGCCGCAGACTGGCATGCTGTCGTGGATGAGCACCGCATTGCGAGCGGTCTGGTAGCGGACCCAAGCTTTGTCGGCGGACGGCGGGTCGCCACCGGGACATTGTGTAGCTCTCTTGACGATACCGCAAAGTCTGTGTGACGTAGGGCCTCTGCCCGCGACAGAGCTGGGATTCATGCGTCGATAGCTTCTCATGCTGTAGTACGCGGTGGTTTTCAGTGCGCGTTTTTAGGTACGTTCACTTTGCTTAATTTCTTTCATAATTGGACCACTCCAGTGGGGCGGAGGATCCTGCCCGTGTAAAAGTGTGTAATCTTCGAAGAATTTATAAAGGGTTCGAGCTCGCTATGCACGCGTGTCGCAAGCTCTTTTTCATTCCGGCATTTAATGTTAAGCATGAGCAGGATAGAATAGAAAGTACAACGATCCGCAAATATTTATTGTAGGCCACCCAACGACGGTACTTTCCAACTACCAGTCAAAAGTGCAGGCATGCTAGAAGCTAGAAGCTAGAAGCTAGAAGCTAGAAGCTGGCGCTTGTCTACTACAAAGGGGACGAAATAAGTAGAAGAACGTCAATTCTCATCAGTATCTAAACCATCGTCCTTCTTAACTTATCAGCGAAGCCTCGTCCGCACCTGCAGTCGTGCTCCGTTCCAATCAATCCGAAGAGAAACATGTGTTCTCGCTGAAAGAACACATCTTAGTCTTTTGGTTGATTCGATGCCAAGAGCAGAACTCAGTACCTCAGGCAGTCGATGGACACAGATTGTACATCAAGAGCAGGTGGAATAAGTTCTTACTTCCAGAGAGGGGCCTTTTTTTTGTCAGCCACCGACAAAAACAGAGACAAACGGCTGCATATCGACCGTATTCCTCGTCAATAGACGAAAAGACTACACGATAATGCGCTTACAAAGTGACATGTTGTCCCGTCCCAACAGTGAACTCGAGTAGAAGTGACAGCTACATATGAAGTTCTTTTCTCATGCACCTTCGCACTCAGAAATCAGAGCGGTTGGACTCGTATGTTTTCAGGTGTACTTTCATTCAAGGCGTGGCCTGGGCATCTTGAACACCTAAAACCTGGGTAATATTGACCATCTCGAAGGCACTCTCCTTCTTTCGTCCCATTCATGCAGTCTCACGGTAAAAAAAAATCATCGTGCGTAGCTCCAGCAATGCCACAAACCTGACACTCGGCCGATACCAACGGCAGTGTACGGGAGCTTCGAGTGCTCATTATTTCATACATTCTAAAAGGCTAATGGAGAAAACTACTTCGCAGTAACAGGTGCAAAAAAAGCAAGGATGGGCCGCACGACAGGCTCAATGTTGAATTGAATATTTACATCCTCACAATGTGAGGTGCTATTAAACAGCGGCCATCATGATGAGATGTAATTGATCGGCGACGCCTAGATTACATCTTGTCTGCTAAGACACGCCATGATTGCATCTCGGTCGAAGGAGAACTTTTCACGATGTTGAGGCCTTGCATTTTGCTCTGCCCAGGCGTTAAAAAAATTGGTCTTCCGAGCGACGCTTCTAGAGAAGAGCCCATTCGGGTCCCTGGGAACCAGAACGTCTTTCAGAATTGCTCGCGACGCCTGCTTGCTGGAGTCGGGGTTTTCAAGGGTGATCGGCAGCTCCGTTGCGAAGTCTTTGCTGGTGACGTAAGGAACTGGCCAAAACTCGTCTTGAAGCCCTCTCTCTGCTGCAATCCGGTCGGTCTCTATGACGTAGTTGCGAAATAATTTCTGTCGCTCTGAGTCATTCATCCTGGACCCAGCAGCCGTACCAAACGTAGCGCGATTGAGAACGTCCTCATTCCCAGAAGTCATCCCTTTATTTCTCGATTTCCGTGCAGAGTCCTTTTTATTGGCATCTGGTGGTTTGGGCCGGCTCCTCGCAGTTCGGGCCGGAGTTCCTGTCTCTCGACCTTGCCGATCTGCTATTGTCGCTTCAAGCGCAGCAACGGACAAAACCGGGCTGGATACGATGTGGCCAGTCACTGGTGCCTCTGGCGATTGCAGCTTACTGTCATCTGGGATGTGCGGTGCCCATGACTCGAGCGGGGCCGAGACCGGGCCGCATTCGTGCTGTTGCTTTTGCTGCAGTGCCTCTTTCCGACGAGCGACCCAGGATCGCAAACGCTTTGTGTACGGCGCGACCCCATATTGCGAAAAATATATCTTTTGGGCTTTCTGGGTTCGCACGGGCCCGCTTGCGGTGAGAAGGACGATTTGTGGTGATTTGGAGGCCTTCGGAGACTCTGGTAGGGCGGTCAGCGAAACCCATTTGATATCTGAAATCTCCTTGCGGGTTTTTGTTTGAAACACGGTCGTTTCTGGGATGTTGGGAACCATGAATATGCGACTGTACCGACCGCCAGACATAGAGTCAACGTACGGGGTATTTTCGTCAACGTGTGGGCCCATGTCAAAACCGGTTTCTTCGTCGACCTCGCGAGTGGCGGCTTGGAGCTCTGTTTCATCTTTAGAGAGTTTGCCTTTTGGAAAGCCCCACCGTGCATTCTGACCCCAACCGCGTACCACGACGACTTTGTCCATTGTGGGATTTATCAGTGCTGCCCCACATGTTGGCACTTCCTGCTTATATGACTGGAATTGAGCGGTGAGTCGGTCTACATCGTCGTGGTAGTGATGTAGGAGCGCGGTGTGTTTGAAAAGTCTGGCCGCGAACTGCTTCAGTTGCAAACGTGGAAGAGACTTGTCATGTTCTCTGTAAAAGTCATCGTAGAACCAGTGAGCTGATTCTATGGCGAAAAACAACCTTTCGAATGACTCGTATTCGACGGCTGGTAGGTTTACAAGAAAGCGCATGCAAAGGTCGTCAAGAACTTCGTTCAGGCGTTGTGAATTGGGTTCGTTCTTTCTTGACATGGCTGATTCTTTTTTGGAAGAGTCACAAGATGTCGCGAGTTGAGAAGATTGTCGCGAAGATGGGGCAAGCGGCAACGAGTAGACCGGATGGCTCAGTTGTAGGACCGCGGGTGGGCAGAGCAATGGCAGATTGGATGGAATGCCTCAACACTCTCAGCACGAGCGTGGATGGACTGTAGGAGGCGACTACCACGCAATTGATACAAAAAACAAGTGGCAGCACATAAATGGCTGCTTTGTTGATGTTGGAGATTGGGTGTTAATTAGATCAGCGGCACATGCTTCAAATTGCTTACACCGATTATCCGGCGGATACTGTATACGCATGTATTGTACCCCTTGGCACAACGGACGCTATCTACTACAGAGATAAACATCGATAGAGTGACCCCTTGTCACAGTGACCCCCCTCGGTATAGTGACCGTTAGAAAAAAATTTCTTGCCACCATTGCGCTGAGTGGCCGTAAGGCCCACTTTTGCTTTTACAGTGACCCCCTCACTATAGTGACCTTACCTGTACAGTGACCCGAAAATTTAGAGGGTCACTGAAAAAAAGTTATATTTTTATTAAAATTTTAACGGGTCACTCAAGAGGAACTCTGAAAAAATGAATCTAGGGTTGACTGACGACCAGAGCGCTTGCGGTAGCCGGCAATATTCTCTATCTCAATGTCCAATGCTTATTTTTCACTTATTTTTGCAATGATTTCTTTTCGCGCCAGCTTAACGTGGCATTTTATGTTTGCGAGCCCCATTTTTATTCGCCATTTATGTTGTCAGGCCTGTAAGATGGACTTCACCCCTTTGTTTTGGGGTCTGTGCGCCGTCTGCACCCTGCTCCACTACAGTGACCCCCTCCGGTACAGTGACCCTTATGCCTATTTCGGGTCGCCACCTTTGGGGGTCACTGTATCGATGTTTATCTCTGTAAGAGCATCCCCACCGGTAGAATCAAATACCCAAACAACCAAAATTTGATGATTTGATGTCGATTGAAATCCCCATCGGTGCAACCAAATCATCAAATTTTTGGTGTCGATCTAAAAATCGGAACCAAATATCAAGAATTTGGTTCGGATAGTCTCTGTTTGATTACCCTTGACAATCCAGTTGTGCACGTTCTATTGGTCGACCGAAACGGCTTCCCACCAAAAAGCGCATCGATGCGGTATTTGCCTCGAGATTACCAGTGTCTCCCGCCGATCCAGTATGCCCACTACGGCGTGCATGCTCTTCCCCCTTCCATCCCTCCAGAACGTCGACGGCCCCGCCATCCCTGAGCGCGTCCTTCCCCGCCCGGCTCTTACACAACAACAACACTTCCTCGACCAACCAGGCGCGAATCTCCGCCATCTCCTCCCGTCCCACCTCCTTTGACCTCCCCAAGCACATTGCGACCGCCGCCGTACCCCCACCAACACATCATGGCACTCGTTCGCCATCACGCAGTTCCGCACCCAGCTCGCCCCCGCCAGCCTCTTCTCTGCCTCCCCCGCCTCCAGCAATCTCAGCAACCTCGTCAACAGCTGTCTCTCCGCCTGCCTTCCCTCGATCAACAGGACGTCCCTCCCCTCCTGGCTCGCGCACGCATTCGACAGCCGCAGCACATTCGGAATACTCGGTACCCTCTCCACGAGCACGAGTAGCGTGCCCCTCTCCCGAACCCGTCCGCGCCCTCCGCTTCGTCCACGCCCGGCGCGAAGCGCGTCAGGTTGGACAGCAGCGCCGCGTGCAGCGCGACGACGTCCGCGTCCAGGACCACCTGCGCTGCGAGCCGCACCGCGTCCGCGTGTGTCAGAGCCGCCGGCTCCTCGTCCTCCGACAGGTTCACAAGCGCAGACAGTGCTAGAGCAGTGCGATTCGCTGCTCGGCAGCAGCAGCAGCCGCAGGAGAACGTCGCTCGCGGCTGTCGAGCCAATCATCCGCCGCAGCACCGCTGCCGCCGGCGCGTATGTTCTCTCCGGGATCGCGCTGCTCGCGGTCGCGTGGGGAGCGCGTGCTGTCCGTGAGCAGGGAGGACAGCGCCGGCAGTCTGTCTTTGTCCACGGTGGAGGTGAGAGGGAAGGAGTGCAGACAGAGTGGCGAGGGAGAAGGTCGCGGGATGGGTTTCGAGTGAGCGTGCGACTACGACTGAGGGTGCGATACGAGGGTGAGTACGAGTGTGAGTACAAGGATGCGATGGTGAGTACGAGGGGAATGTACTTCATTTGGTTCTCACCGGTGGGGCAGTTCTTTCCGAAGCATCAAACAGCCAAATAACGAAACAACCAAATTCTAGGGAGCCAATCAAATTACAGAAAAAGTGTGCCAAGTGTTGTTATTTGATGATTTGATTGCGTACCGGTGGGGATGCTCTAAGCAATCTTATCTCAGCAAAGAAAGCAAAGTAGAATGCTACAAAAGATTCCCTTTCTGACGGATGCTGTCGGCAGCTCCTTTTAGCGAGTCATGCTTCAATTCTTGCCATTTGTCTCTTCTTCCCCCCCCCCCCCCCCCCCCAAAAAAGAAGCAGACCATCTTTGCTTCTTGTCCATTGTCTGCTGTTCATTTCTGCACGAGTACAGGGTCATCAATGCACTAAATCGAATCATGAGATCTTACAAATCTTACAAATCTTTAATTTAAAAATAAAAATAAAAAAATTTCAAACTAGTAACATATCTCGTCAAACGTTTGTAGTAGCAAAGCATTAATAGGAAGCAAGACACGAGTCTCACAAATAAGAATATCGAAAAGGAACGCGCGTGCGGGAAGCCGCTGTGATTAAAGACCCCCGTGCTGCGTTCTTGAGCGTTTCGGAGAAGGTCGCAGAATGCCAAATGTCCTCCCCCTTTCTGAAAGGCATCACCACACTATGGAGCTGTATCAAAAGATGTGCATCTTGCACAAACCAGAGTAGAACAACTTCTTACTCTCTGCAGCCTTCACCAATAGCATTGATGCCCGTCGCACGCACATACATTCTACCAACCATAGAAGCCGTGCCTCACCCCACCGTGCAAAGGCCCATGGGCAGCCGGCTGCCAACCATAGTAGCCGTATCCCATTCCGCTATGCAAAGGTATCTGTGAAGCCGGCTGCCAACCATAGTACCCTTGTCCCATTCCACTGGGCAAAGATACCTGAGAAGCTTGTGGCCAACCATAGTCGCTGCGCCCCGCCCCACTGTGCGAATGTTTGTGCGAAGCCGCCTGCTCCTTCACTGTTACCGCCTTCCGCCCCTCCGCCTTCTTCCTATCCTTCACTCCGCTGCATCGGCACCGGCTTCCGTGGCACTCACAGCTGTAATGATCTCTCCCATGCTTACACCCGTGCTTACTCTCGTGCTTACTCCCGTGCTCCTTGTGTTTCGCAGTTGACGACTTCGATTCATTTTCGCTACGACGCTTGACCGTCACAGGCCTCCATGTCTTCTCACCTTCCTTGCGATAGTAGCAACTGCATTTTCCTCCTTTGCACCCGCACACGTAATACACTTTTGCCTTTTGCTTCTGCTTGCTGTCGCGTTTCTTCTCTTGAGCGTACCTGTTGCAGTGTTTGCTTCCGCAACTGCAAGTTGATTTAGATGAAGACCGGCTGTTAGACATCGTATTGAATGGTGTAGATGCAGCGACGTTCTGACGTGAGTGGCTTTGGTTGATGGTACACAGCGAGGATGAAGGGCTTTGGTAAGGGATGAACTTGGAGATGGACGAGACGGTTGAGATGGACTTGGCTCCGCTCCTCTATTTACGTACAATTCCCAAACAAAACGAAACCCCAACATTGTCAATCGCCCATGAAAACGCACACGCTGTGCAAAAATGAGCACTTGGTAAACTCTCAACAGCACTTTTGCCAGCGCACACCTTGGGATGCTACCAAGACAACTACACCATTCGTCCTCCACATACATGGGCTCGGCTTTGCCATGCTGTCTGGTGGCAAGGAAGTTCTATAAAGAGATCCAAACAAATCTTTGGTTCTCTCACTTACATAGAGCAGTGCGGGACGGTCCATTCATTCATGAGGTCGTGTGTCAAAAGGAAATGCCCTACTAATTTGCTTAACGCACCAATTACTTGCTAGAAATGTGATGCTGTGCGTGGGGCGTGGCGTCGTGACGCATGATAGTACGGAAAAAGTCATGTCACAGTTACTGTTTAATACCGGATCATGGACAGAAGCACCTTCAAGGTGGTACTATTTGAAACAGAAACACGCCCGGATCCGTTATACCGTACAGTATTGCCACAGCATTTACGCTTCTCACAGTTTTTAAACGCATGTAGAAATGTCCATCGAGACCACGTCACTCACATATTACCCACTGGGAGCTGTACAAGTGCTCTACTGGGGGCAAAGTTACCTGCACAGCTTAAAAGCAAAGTGTCAGCGACGACTTTCCGCAGCTGTAACTGGTCAAAATCCGCACCACAGTACCCTTGGGTACAGTACAATACAGTACACATACAGTCTCTATTGCAAGATGCAGAGTCTGCGTTACGGACCATGTTTCTATTTGAGGACCCTGTGCTGCTGTCAAAAGCGTAGCTGTCGTTGAAAGCATCGTAGAGGGCTTAAAACGCGATAACTCCGTCAGTCACTCCGTCTGCGGCTTGCGACAACAACTGACTACATACAGTACATCGTGTAAACTTTACATCTTCACATACTACAGTACTGTACCGCAATATGAAGTGTATACAACAAAACAACAAAAATGCCGTATGTGCAGTACTCGATGGCTAACGGAATCCCCTTCCCTGGACAACTGGTCTGCGTGGCGTCGAAGAAATGACAACGCTTCAAAAAGGGCATTAGGGGATTAGTCGGCTGGATTAGGGGATTAGGGGTGGCGCTTGCCAGGTTAAGCCGTGCAGGACTTGTCCAGCCGACTAATCCCCTAATGCCCTTTTTGATCTGACACGGTGGCAAATGGTTTTTTCTTGTTTTTCAAAAGTGATTAGTGAACGTCGGATGTTTTGACAGGGAAATTGATCATGGCTGTCTATATGACGACAGCGCTCGATATCGACGGCATAACCTAGACGCATCATAGCATCATGTCGGAGGAGGGCCTGTTCTAGTGCGGCGACCACGTCCAAGTCGACCCAGCCCGCCCCTTCCTCTCTTCCCCTCTCTCTCCCTCTGTCTGTTCTTGCGCTCTGACCGTTTCTAATCGTTATTTTACTACACACCCCTGTACCGTGTACCGTACACTGTAACTGTAGCACACTCTTACCTACAGTAGATGTTTCGGCAATCCACTTTTTACATTTTTGCTTACATATTTCATCGCGTGCTCGGACTGCAAAACCGCTCCATCGATAAGCAATATATTCTGAACAGACCTTATCGGCCTCCCTATCAAGACTCAAGATTCAACACACCAACCTTTCAATACGAGTCTTACGGCCATTGCGTTGGCATTCATTCACCGGTTGACCAGGCCTGTGTTGAGACATCCGTCTGGGGTAGAAGCAAAGTTCTTAAACAGATTCCACTCCCCACTGCTGACGCATCTTGTTTTGTTAACGTCCACTACTGTACTGAATCGCATGCAAGGCGAGACATGTACAGCTGTGGTACTTTCATGCGGGCGAATCAGCAATCTTCGAGATGGCCAATGCGAATATCGTTAATACCCCTCACAACCTTTCGGCCATGATGACCCGCTGAGCTGCACTGTTCGCTCCCCCCTTCACCGTACCCAGGCTATGTCTCCGCCTAAGCTTGGCCTGGGCTTCTAGAAAGAGTCATAGTCTTTAAGTAACGAATTCCTCTTGGCGTCGCCAGTGTTTTTCGAGCCTGCATTTCGTGTGCAATCCCTCTGTCAAGCTGTCTCTATATGTCCTCGACTGGTTTGTTAAGCTAGTTTGGCCCCTTACTACGCGTACTGGCTCTGCCCACACTCCCTCGGACGTTTGTCTTGAAGAAATCCATGTCTTAGATGAGCGACTCTATCCAGTCCATATCATGCCCCCGCCTGGCTTTTCCTGTTTTCAGCCCACTTTGCTTCCCCTATCATGCCCTTGAACCTGCTTAGCGCTTCTTACACGTATATTCGTAGAAACCAAAAGAGGAGTGTTTTGCTTTAGCCTTCCTAATACTCTGCGGGCTAGCTCTTTTGCGGGCATTTCAGTGGGAGGAAGATGATTTGCAAAGCTGTCTACATCCTTTCTGGTTTCTTGGCCATCTTCTCGACTGTGAGCTCTTGCATCACACCGATTTTTATGCCCTCAGTGAACATCGTCCTGTCGCTTCTTAAACCGTTTCTGTCGTTGCAAGGTTCTTGTCGACAGTCACCACTTCTATCAAATACACAATACCAAGTCATGTTCCCAACAAGCAAAAGCATTCATTTGGCATTCAAACCATGCATGATTCTCTAGAGAGGCGCCTAAAGAATCGCCCCGCTGTGGTTGGTTGTGATTGGCACTAAAACTACGTTGCTACTCCCTCTTTATCTGTCCAACATTTCCTCCCACTGTATTAGTTCGCAACTTTCCTAAGTCTGCTTTGGACGGAAATTGCTTGCGTTTTACTCTATATCTATATAAATGAGTAGGAAATGTAACCTGTTTGAAGATAACTTAGTCGATATTGGCGAATGCTCTTGAGGATTGCGGTTATAAAGTGTGTTGGAAAAGCGATCATCCACAGGCAGCAGCAAGTTGTAGTTTCCATGAGTATAAATGGTACAGTAAGGTTAAGCATGAGTTTCCATGACCCAAGAATACTGGCTAAAAACTTGCATGAAGTGTGTCGATAGCACTGCCGTACTAGGTGAGGATCAACTTGTATTCGAATGAAGTATCATCCAGTGGCTTCAGCTAGGCTAAAATAACACCTTCGATGAAGCACTACGAGAGTAATGTTCTCTTCTCTTGCTGGCCGCAGGAGTAATCTGCACAAACAAAAGGGCCCTGTGCTGAATGAGCACAATGATACCCAAACTAATGGTTCTCTCAAACAACTCTGTCTTCGAAGATATTTGAGTCTGAGGCTACCCCGCAAGAGAACTCGGATGTTTTCAGTGAATGCAGTGTTGTTCTCGTTTATTTGATGAACTCGTCAGTGTTTGCGCAGCGATGATCTCTGGGCAATTAATGCAGAGTTGTCAAGATTTGAAATATTCTTCGAATTCTTCCTTTCCGCATAGTTTGGGGGAGAGAATGCGGTTAAAAGAAATTAGTAACAGACTGAGTATTTAATGCAAAATCAAGTTATTGAAGGGTAAGTAGACGACTGTGGAAACCGTCTGGTTACAAAGACGACTGAACACAAACATCTGAATGGTCCCGCGCTTCAGGTGAACGTAGTTCAGAAAAAGATACATATCGTGGCAATCACATTAATCGCAAATCCCGCAACACCCAGTCATCCTTCGCCATCGAATGGCTTGTAACTTTCTTGGTATGCGACTTTGGCTTAGGACAATAGCAGACATTCCCGAAGCACCCACAGTCGCGGTACCAACCATGGTGGTTATGCCCCTTTCCGCTGTGCGACTGTACGTGGGCAGTCGGATGCTTCCACACTGCCGCTGGCTTTGGTTCAAACCTCTCCTCAGTTCTTCCGCATCGGCATCGGCTTCCGTAGCACTTGCATGTGTAGTGACGATTCCAGTGCTCATAAGTTGACGACGCCTTCTGATTATGGGGCGTCACAGGCCTCCATGTCGTGTGGCCTTCCTTGCGATAGTAGCAGCTGCATTTCCCGCCTTTGCATCCGCATGCGTAGTACACTTTTTGCTCTTGCTTGTGCTTGCGACAGTGTCTCTCTCGTTGAGCATATTTGTTGCATTGGGTGCTCCCGCAGCTGCAAATCGATTTAGATGAACAGCAATCGTAAGACATTTTAGGTGTTGAGCAGACGAAGAGTTGTGATTGTGGCTGTTTGGGGTACGATCGCTTTTCTGTGATAGATTTGTATTTTAGCAAGTTGTCTCAAGCTTTTATAGAGATGTTTGCAAACGAAGAGGGAATCGTACACGCAGGTTTTTGAAGAATGTTCCTGCCAACGCAGATGGTAAGCGTTTGTTGAGTAGATATACGTGTAATATGGCAACACCGTTGCGTTATTGACGGTCAAACCATAACGGGTATTGATGGATGTTGTTGCGCTTGAAGAAAATATCCAAGTGAGAACAAGTGCGGTTTGACCCGAGAATCTCCTTTGCGCATGAGTTAATGTTGATGAGACGATAACACAATGACAGGGCAGATAGGCTGACCTGCCGTGCTCTACATTAGACCATGAACTGTGAGCGTGAGTTTAGGTTTACGATGACGTCAGCGTTGACAGCGAAATTAGTGGAGCGATAGAAATCAGACAAGGCAAAGGGAATCATGGAATGCTCGTAAATGTCGATTGTTTACTAGATGGAAACAACTCTACGCAATGCAGAGGGCGGTACAGTATTGAAGCTGTGTGGCTGGGATGGCAAGTGATGCTCAGCAAGTTTAAGCCAGTGAATTGAGGACCAGAGGGCATGTAAGAACTGCTCCCCGAGAACTCCATGTTCAGTGAGGCACTGTTCAGAGAGCATTGCTGTGACAGCACCTGTATCGTAAAGGTACGATCGAAGGAGAAGGAGGAAAAGGACCTACTGTTGCGGGGGTATTCCCCCATTTTTTGTGTCAGAGGCACTGTCGACCCCAGAAGTCACACACAGCTTCGAGACACGTGGCACACTTGGTCATTCTGAGTGCGAGGCGGCGGTCTATTTCTACGTTTCGAGTTTACATCATTGTGGGATTGGGCGATGTGGCTCCCCACAGATGCAACAGCCCAGAGGAGCAGAAGGAAGGGAGGCGATCATGATAGAAACATAAATGTACACATCACGGGACGGTGCGCAGCACAAGGCTCTCCACCGCCCTCCACTCCTTCAATGCTGCCCGGAAGCGCTGCCCTTCATAGACTGTGGCCGGCTCCGGCATGATCTGTGGTCCTGCCTCTCCCCCTTTATCTGTGAGTTGAGTGCCCTTCTTCGCTTGACACGCGATACCGCAGTGCAAAGGTGTACAGGGCACGAAACTAAAAAAAGGCCACTGCACGCAATTTTGAACAGGGCACCATCTCCTCCACTGGTGCGGTACAGTTCCTAATCAAACAAATAAAATGATTTCTTTTTGTCTTTCGTGGCATTTTTCCCACCCGTAAAGCAAATGAGAGAAGCACTCACGCACAAGCAAATTCCTGAAGCGGACGGCCGGCAACTATTCGCTAAGCAAAACAAAAGAATCCGTGTGCACCCAAACAATTGGCCGAAAATGCTCCATTGTATGAAGGAATGTGAGCACGAAAAGTACTGGCGACGCCAAGAGGAATTCGTTACTTAAGGACTATGACTCTTTCTAGAAGCCCAGGCCAAGCTTAGGCGGAGACATAGCCTGGGTACGGTGAAGGGGGGAGCGAACAGTGCAGCTCAGCGGGTCATCATGGCCGAAAGGTTGTGAGGGGTATTAACGATATTCGCATTGGCCATCTTGAAGATTGCTGATTCGCCCGCATGAAAGTACCACAGCTGTACATGTCTCGCCTTGCATGCGATTCAGTACAGCAGTGGACGTTAACAAAACAAGATGCGTCAGCAGTGGGGAGTGGAATCTGTTTAAGAACTTTGCTTCTACCCCAGACGGATGTCTCACCACAGGCCTGGTCAACCGGTGAATGAATGCCAACGCAATGGCCGTAAGACTCGCATTGAAAGGTTGGTGTGCTGAATCTTGAGTCTTGATAGGGAGGCCGATAAGGTCTGTTCAGAATATATTGCTTATCGATGGAGCGGTTTTGCAGTCCGAGCACGCGATGAAATATGTAAGCAAAAATGTAAAAAGTGGATTGCCGAAACATCTACTGTAGGTAAGAGTGTGCTACAGTTACAGTGTACGGTACACGGTACAGGGGTGTGTAGTAAAATAACGATTAGAAACGGTCAGAGCGCAAGAACAGACAGAGGGAGAGAGAGGGGAAGAGAGGAAGGGGCGGGCTGGGTCGACTTGGACGTGGTCGCCGCACTAGAACAGGCCCTCCTCCGACATGATGCTATGATGCGTCTAGGTTATGCCGTCGATATCGAGCGCTGTCGTCATATAGACAGCCATGATCAATTTCCCTGTCAAAACATCCGACGTTCACTAATCACTTTTGAAAAACAAGAAAAAACCATTTGCCACCGTGTCAGATCAAAAAGGGCATTAGGGGATTAGTCGGCTGGACAAGTCCTGCACGGCTTAACCTGGCAAGCGCCACCCCTAATCCCCTAATCCAGCCGACTAATCCCCTAATGCCCTTTTTGAAGCGTTGTCATTTCTTCGACGCCACGCAGACCAGTTGTCCAGGGAAGGGGATTCCGTTAGCCATCGAGTACTGCACATACGGCATTTTTGTTGTTTTGTTGTATACACTTCATATTGCGGTACAGTACTGTAGTATGTGAAGATGTAAAGTTTACACGATGTACTGTATGTAGTCAGTTGTTGTCGCAAGCCGCAGACGGAGTGACTGACGGAGTTATCGCGTTTTAAGCCCTCTACGATGCTTTCAACGACAGCTACGCTTTTGACAGCAGCACAGGGTCCTCAAATAGAAACATGGTCCGTAACGCAGACTCTGCATCTTGCAATAGAGACTGTATGTGTACTGTATTGTACTGTACCCAAGGGTACTGTGGTGCGGATTTTGACCAGTTACAGCTGCGGAAAGTCGTCGCTGACACTTTGCTTTTAAGCTGTGCAGGTAACTTTGCCCCCAGTAGAGCACTTGTACAGCTCCCAGTGGGTAATATGTGAGTGACGTGGTTTCGATGGACATTTCTACATGCGTTTAAAAACTGTGAGAAGCGTAAATGCTGTGGCAATACTGTACGGTATAACGGATCCGGGCGTGTTTCTGTTTCAAATAGTACCACCTTGAAGGTGCTTCTGTCCATGATCCGGTATTAAACAGTAACTGTGACATGACTTTTTCCGTACTATCATGCGTCACGACGCCACGCCCCACGCACAGCATCACATTTTTAGCAAGTAATTGGTGCGTTAAGCAAATTGGTAGGGCATTTCCTTTTGACACACGACCTCATGAATGAATGGACCGTCCCGCACTGCTCTATGTAAGTGAGAGAACCAAAGATTTGTTTGGATCTCTTTATAGAACTTCCTTGCCACCAGACAGCATGGCAAAGCCGAGCCCATGTATGTGGAGGACGAATGGTGTAGTTGTCTTGGTAGCATCCCAAGGTGTGCGCTGGCAAAAGTGCTGTTGAGAGTTTACCAAGTGCTCATTTTTGCACAGCGTGTGCGTTTTCATGGGCGATTGACAATGTTGGGGTTTCGTTTTGTTTGGGAATTGTACGTAAATAGAGGAGCGGAGCCAAGTCCATCTCAACCGTCTCGTCCATCTCCAAGTTCATCCCTTACCAAAGCCCTTCATCCTCGCTGTGTACCATCAACCAAAGCCACTCACGTCAGAACGTCGCTGCATCTACACCATTCAATACGATGTCTAACAGCCGGTCTTCATCTAAATCAACTTGCAGTTGCGGAAGCAAACACTGCAACAGGTACGCTCAAGAGAAGAAACGCGACAGCAAGCAGAAGCAAAAGGCAAAAGTGTATTACGTGTGCGGGTGCAAAGGAGGAAAATGCAGTTGCTACTATCGCAAGGAAGGTGAGAAGACATGGAGGCCTGTGACGGTCAAGCGTCGTAGCGAAAATGAATCGAAGTCGTCAACTGCGAAACACAAGGAGCACGGGAGTAAGCACGAGAGTAAGCACGGGTGTAAGCATGGGAGAGATCATTACAGCTGTGAGTGCCACGGAAGCCGGTGCCGATGCAGCGGAGTGAAGGATAGGAAGAAGCCGGAGGGGCGGAAGGCGGTAACAGTGAAGGAGCAGGCGGCTTCGCACAAACATTCGCACAGTGGGGCGGGGCGCAGCGACTATGGTTGGCCACAAGCTTCTCAGGTACCTTTGCCCAGTGGAATGGGACAAGGGTACTATGGTTGGCAGCCGGCTTCACAGATACCTTTGCATAGCGGAATGGGATACGGCTACTATGGTTGGCAGCCGGCTGCCCATGGGCCTTTGCACGGTGGGGTGAGGCACGGCTTCTATGGTTGGTAGAATGTATGTGCGTGCGACGGGCATCAATGCTATTGGTGAAGGCTGCAGAGAGTAAGAAGTTGTTCTACTCTGGTTTGTGCAAGATGCACATCTTTTGATACAGCTCCATAGTGTGGTGATGCCTTTCAGAAAGGGGGAGGACATTTGGCATTCTGCGACCTTCTCCGAAATGCTCAAGAACGCAGCACGGGGGTCTTTAATCACAGCGGCTTCCCGCACGCGCGTTCCTTTTCGATATTCTTATTTGTGAGACTCGTGTCTTGCTTCCTATTAATGCTGTGCTACTACAAACGTTTGACGAGATATGTTACTAGTTTGAAAATTTTCAAATTAAAGATTTGTAAGATCTTCATGATTCGATTTAGTGCATTGATGACCCTGTACTCGTGCAGAAATGAACAGCAGACAATGGACAAGAAGCAAAAAGCAAAGATGGTCTGCTTTTTTTTTTGGGGGGGGGGGGGGGGGGGGGGGGGGGAAGGGGGGAAAAAAAAAACAAAGGGAAAAATTTTAACCTGGCTCCCCTAAAAGGGGCGTTCACAACC